ACACACACACACACACACACACACACACACACAGCCACACACACCCCGAAGCTAGTTTTTGGAGCTGTAAATCTGTCACTATAGGGTCCTTCAGAGCCACTGTGGTTTCATACACACTAGGTGGACGGTTAGCTAACAGACTTGATGAGGTTCATCTGCTTCACAAAGCTCAGATCCATTCGCCCTTCCCCACCCACTCCTATTGAGAAATCACCCTCTAATGTGCTCCCCCATTTCCTGCTCCCCATTCCTTTGTGCACACAGCAGGGAAGCAACAGGTAATGCAGGTTTCTGCAAGCAGCAAACCTCTGGAGGTCAACTCCCCTGATCTTCACCCCTCTTGTGTCAAAGTACAGTCGCTCCATTGAGTTCCCAAGGGCTTCTTTAAAAAAAAAAAAAGGAATTGATTTTCATGAAAGTTTACAGAAACTTTGGCTTTCCACTCATTCATTGTTGCACTTTTTTCCCCCTGCCCACTCCTCCCCCATTCACTTTTCTTTTTGAAAATTAAAAGAAAAAATTTCTTTCATTATTTAATCCCTCCCCCCAAGTGGCTTCATTTTTATAAACAAGTTACACAGCTTTCTGATTTCTTAAGAATCAACACTGAAGTGTAATTTACTTAATGTGTAAGTTACATGTTTGTTACATTAAAACAAATTTGTTTTAACTATACACTTCGATGAGGTTTTTTAAAATTATGATTTGAATTAAAAAATACAAAGAAATTGGGTTTTCATTTAATTTTCCTTATAAATTGTTCCTCTCTTCCCCTTCCATTCGTTTCATAACATATGTCCTGTTCCAGATTGTTAGTTGCAACCCACATAAGGGATAATCGTCCATTCATTTAAGGTTAACCTTTTCACCTATTCCAATGCAATATTAATCATCTATCGTTCTTTTCCTGCTCTCCCTGCCTGCTCCCCACCCAGTAGCTCTCCCACTTTTAGAACAGTGATTTTACACAAATTTTGCCCTTTTGTGATCCAGTTATTTTAGTCAACATAATGTTCTCTAGAAATATCCATATAGTGTAGTGTTTATGAATTCTTAATCATTTTTCAATGCTGTGTAATACTCCACTGTGTGTGCTTGGGCTACTTCCATCTCTTTGCTGTGTTATTGTGAAAAAGGCTGGGATAATAACTGGATGTTTATATATCTGTTTGTATCACAGCTCTGATCTATTCTGTTATTTTTCTGTTCATAGGGTTGGTCTGAGTCCTACTTGATGGCACCTAAGAACAACACCTATTCAATCTAAATGCCAAAAAGTTCATTTGGGAGGCTGGACTTTATGAAAAAGAATGTGGTATCCAGTTTGGAGGAAGACTCATCAACAACCTGCATTATGCAGATGATACAACTTGGCTTACTAAAACCGAGGAAAACTTGAGGCAGTTGCTACAGAAGATCAAGGACGACAGCTTTCTTTTTTTTTTTTAAAAATTAAATTTTATTAGTTTTAATGCACATTTACAGAGATTTTGGGTTTTCATTCATTCATTGTTGCACTGTTTTCTCCACCCTCCTCCCCAGT